AGTGAGTCATGAACTAAGTTCTTTGAGGGCAAAAACAAACAAGAAAACACACAAAGAAAAACTTGTGCCATTTGTGAAAGTGGCGAAAAGAATATTGCATGTCTCTCCTGTCCCGCTCATGGCTCATACCGATAAAAATAACTGTTATGTGACTCTTAGGTAACACTGACCATTCCCTAAAAAGGCAGCACAGCCCTTAAAATGTGACAAAGTTTCATATGTTTCAACCATCTTCCCATGTGAGATACAGAGAGTTAAATTTAAAGCTAAAGTATTGTAACTACTTTATTTCATAGTGTAAAACCCTTAGAATCACTGAATTAGAGCAAGGAGCCAGACAAAAATACATGAGCAGATATCTAATTATTTTAATAATTCCTCTCACAAATTAAAAAAAAAACAACACTTAGTCTACACTTTGTATTGCTAAGTTAGTGCACAAATGCTTCAGCAACAGAACTTCGTTTATTGAGATTAATGCATGTAGCACCTTCTGGAATAAGAGACCAGAATTTTACAAAGTTTTGGTCATTTACTTGACAAAGAATCCAAAACAAAACAGAATTTAATATGCTGCTCTACCAGAATCTATATGTGCAAAGTGGAATGGGTGTGAGAAAAAAGTAATCATGGCTATAAACCTATTTATTTCTTTGTGAGATTCTTACGGAAACTATCAAAAGTAGAGAAGTATTGGTGGGGAAAGGTTTGTGAAAGTAAATACTATTTTTAAGCCTTTGAATTCTGATCAGAAAAGTAGGGAATGCTTCTAAAATACCATGTAGTATTTTCATTGTAAGTAGTATATACTAGGAGACTAAAAAGAAACAAAAACCACTCCAGTCTGTCTACCTGGAATAATTTCCAGCAGCAGCCTGTAAGGTAAATGGAGTGTGGAAAACCAATTCACAAATTGCAGGCTTGGGAAGGAATAACACTGCTTAGAAAATGAAAGTCGATCAAGATTGGAAACATTTCACCTGTTTTCGTTTAAGTCTTCAGTCTTTTTTTCTGCTGGTTTAGGAAAGAGAATACAGCACAATGGGGCATTAGGGACTATGAACTCCAAGTATTTCAAAAGAGACACAGTGATATGCTCAGGGCAATTTTTTAAGACAAAAAGAAAACTAGGCATTTGGATAACCTCCAAGTTAAGGTATGGTTTATGAAACTTTGAATAATTATTTCCAATTTTTTTGTCAATGGAATATATGCTTTAATCGACATAAAATTTTTAAAAAAGCAACTATCATGAGGCTTAAAACTAGAAAATAACTTGCAATCTCATTAGATTAGTCCCCTACTTCCAGTGCAGTGTGTTCTCATCACAGAAGAGGCAAGTATTGAAACCTTAACGATGTGAACACAGCTACTTGCCATGCTCCTTTTTTCACGGAATTAGTGTCAAAAGACCCTTTATGGTGGCAAAGACTTTTCCAAAGCACTCAGGCTAAAATCCTTCATGTAAGTTCCTAACTACCTTAAGAAACAGTTCCTGACAAGTCAATTAATCCTCCCAAGTGAGTACAACTGAAGAACAGATGCCTTCAATTCAAACAGGTATTAAAGATATCTGGCGCTTTCTAAAAGAAACTATTAGCCATCAGTTATTTACTTTTTCCAAAATACTGCACAGAGAAGTTGGGCACAAAATTCAAGGGATTAAAATCTGAGAAAATTTGGAATGTTTTGTGTCATCATTAATCTACTAGCTTAATGCCCTACTGGTGTATAAAATACTAATAGGATAAAATTTTGTGAAATGTTTAAAAGAGATTATGTCAGTATTTCACTTTACCACTAGAGAACATAAGTTACAAGACAATGCTTGCTGCTTATCTTATTTAATTCTCACCCCAATCTTAGGAGGTATAAAAATCCCTTAAGTGAACCTTTTTTTCTTTTTCTTCTTTCTTTCTTTCTTTCTTTCTTTTTTTTTTTTCCAGCAGAAACAAACTCAAGACCTTGCACTTCCAGGTGGGTGCTGTGTTGCTAAACTATATCCCCAGTCACAAAATCCCATTTAAAACATTTGCCATCATTATCTTCAATTTACAGATGAGACGCACAGCAGAACCAATATCTGAACCCATGCTTCCACATTCAAGAGCCCTGATAATTTACCTGTACAATTGGTTACAAGTTATCTTCTTAGGAACTTTGGGCTATACTGTGTACACTACTACTGGCCGTGGATATCAATGATAACAGGGCTCATCAGAACTGGCTCTGTGAGTCTGAGATTACAGAACCTGGGCATCTAGTAAGACAATGAACTCTAACGCCACTTTTATTTAATTTTCAGAAATTAATGACATACTTCAGTGGCCAGCTTTATGATTCTCAAGGAAAAGAGAGAAAATTACTCCCTTTCCCTCACAAAGTCCATCAGAAGGATAGAGAAACACATCAAAGCTCTCTGGGCAATCTTGAGAAACCTCCCTCCAGCGCCAGGAAGACGTTCTCTCATTTGCAAGGGCTGAGACTCCCTCATACATAGAAAACTAATATGATAACATTTATTGAGTGATTTCTATGAGCAAGACACTACTTTAAGGATACATTCAATATTTCAAACCAATTTAAGAATTACAGGGTATTAATAGTATCCTTCTGCACTGTTATAAATCATATCCAGATGTTTCTCCAAAGCTCGTGCAGCCACAGGTGGCACTTTTACAGAGGTAGCTGGATTTAGGATGTGTGACACTGAGGTTGATTCATGGTGCAATGCTAGAATCAAGGGCTTTAGGATTCAGGGTGTGAGCGGTACCCTCCCTAAGCCTGGTAAAGTATAAGAGATAGAGGGAGCTGTGGTTGTCCCTTGGTTGCTTTGCTGCATTCTAGGGTCCATGAGCCGTTTCTCTGCAATGCCCATCTGCCATGTGCCACCCTGCCTTGGAGCCAACCAATTATGGACTGAATTCTCTACAGACTGTGAACTAAATAAGCCTTTGCCCCATTTAGCTTTACATGTTAGGTATTTTGTATCAGCAATGAGAAAAGTGACTAAAATGTATACCACACCCCAAAGGGAGGCACAGATAATTTAGGGCACTCACCCTCCATCTACCTGAAATGGTAGAGCTTGACTCTGAACTAGAAATCATGATTCCAAAGACTGCACATTTCACTGCATTCTATAATCTTTCTTGCTAATCAACTGAGATAACAACAAAGATCATCAAAACCGACATGAAAACATCCTTCAAAGCGATGCAAACAATGACTCAAAGAAGAAAGCAATTTTTATGAATTTAAGAAAAATCCAAGATAAATGAGACTTCTGTTCTCTTCTCTCCCTCTCCTTTTCTGTTGGTACTACTCTCCCTCTTTGATTTTCAAAAATTCACCTTGCTCACCACTAGTGTTGATTGTGCCCCCATGTCAAAGTGCCACTGTTGTTTGAATAATTCACACTAGTACGTATTTAATTTGAGGAATTTAAGGTCTCTATTTTCATTGTTGAAAACAATTTAGTAAGGTAACATTCATTAGTTCACAATTTAAAAAATATTTAAAAGCAATAGAAGTGAATGTAAAACAAATACTACATCTAAATTCAGTAACACAGATGAATCTCATGAATATAATATTTAGCAAAAGAAGCCAGATGTATAGATTTATACTATATGACTGAATTTATACAAAGTGAAAAAAGTGTTAGAATTCAGGACAGTCGTTACAGCCCCACCCCTTCAAGGTATCAAGGAACTTCTGGGAATCTATTGCCCTTTTGACTTTTGATCTGGCTGATGGTTATACAGATGTTTCATTCTAAGGAAATTCACTGTACTTGGTACTAGTTTTGTGCATTTTAATGTCATTTTTCAATATAGAAGTTTGTATTCAAAGGCCTTGCTCTATTCAAAATTCTCATCTGCTAATTGTGTTTTCTCATTACTTCATCTCAAAAAGATACAATTAATTTGTCTGATAACATTAATAATATTTCCATATGTCATTACAAAGTTATTGTTTTCCTACTTAGGAAATGTTTGAAAAGATGTTTTAAAAGTCAGGCTTATTGAAGAACTTTATAGATAGTTAAATTCAAACTTTATGTAATTTATACATAGTGAAATATAATGTTTTATAGTTTTTCACAAGACCTTATATTTGGGCACCATGATCATGATGGAGACACAGAATATTCCATTACTCTTCTAAATCCCTTCTCACTTCTCTAATCAACCTCATCTCCCAAATGTCAGATTCTGGTAAAAGGGATTGGTATTCCATCCCACGGCTTTGTCTTTCCCAGAATCCCATGCAAATGGAGTCATATAATATGTATTCTTTACAAGCTGGCTTCCTGTAATTTGCATAATGTATTGAGATCCATCCATGTTATGCACAGCAGAAGTTAATTCCTTTATTACTCAATGGTGTTACCATGCATGGACATGCCAAAATTTAAGAACATCTAAGTATATTCCAGTTTTTGGTGATTATGATTAAATATTCATGTATAGGTTTTCTTTTAACATAAAAACATATTTTGTTCTTATTTATAATTCCAAGCTATACTTTTACCTGCAGAGAATATTTTCTTACCTTTCTTAGAATAACCTTTATTTTACAGTAATTCTCCTACTTGGAGAATATATTAATCACATCAAAATAATGTAAAATCAGAATTGAATTCAAATTATTTAAGAAATATAAACATAGACCAATTTGCAAATTTTTTCCTTAAAATACTTTTTTTTTACCATGTAGAGAATTAAGACTGAAAATATTCTATAATGTTCTAGATTCATGATTTGAAATGTTCAAATTGTACTAAGTTAAACAATAAATGGCAGTAGTAATTAGAACTCTGAAATCGTAATGAATGAGGAACAACAGTTAACACTGGTGGCTTAAGAAGCCAAGTGTTTTCGTGTCTGTCGTAACTCTCTAATTTACTGTAACTTCGATTCAGCTGGTTAGTATCTTTTGTCCACGACAGGTGGGAAGGGACTTGAGTGGTCAAATGGAAACATGATAGATGTTACCTAGCGTGCTGTGGTAAAGTGGAATGGCCCGTCCATGGGTAGTAAATGCAGTCATGAATAGTGGGACCGTTACACCTGCAGGCAATTACAGAACAGAAAACATCATTCCGCATCCACTGTGCCATGCACACACATGCACCAGTGCTCACACATGGAGTCTCGGAGGAAGGATACGGAAAGCAAGCACACCAAGTACCTATCCATCAGGCCAATGCAGTCTTCAATACTTGAGCCTATGCACCTGCAGAAGATGCAGATTTTTTAAAAAATGCATGGAAAGAAAAATTAGCTCTGAAAAGAATCAGTGCAATAAATAATGCCTTGTTAAATTCTTAATTTCCATTACCAGAGACTTTGGACACCATGAATTTAAAGCCAGGGAGAAGATCACTGCTTGATAAATACAACAGAAATGAATAGCAATTACCACCCACATGGAATGCCTAGGAACATGTCCATGGTAATGGAAATTCTGCACAGGTTTTGTCGCTGACATCCCAACAGAGGTCATTTCATTGAATTTCAATTCATTTACATCTTTCATGATTATACATTTGACGAATAACTTGATAGTTCAATGACTGCAATGGTTTTCACACACATGATTTCCTCTAAAAGCCTGTAAAGACCAAAATCAATTAAAAAGAAAACATGAACAATTCCATATGATATAATAACCTGATGGTTAACGGTTATTAAAGGTTGCCTTGGGTAGAAAATGAGTTAAAGTGCTTTAATGCTATTACCATGAATACTTTACATAAGCAAGTCATTTTAATCTTTCATTATGACTTCTTTAAAACATTTGTATTTAAACATGAATTTATTTACACAGCAAATTACTGATTTTATCATATGACAGTTTATGTTGATGGTCTCTTAAAATAGCAGTATCTCAACATGAAAAGCAAAAACAGATTTTTAAGCTGCTATTACATTTAGTTCAAACAATAATAAATAAATAAAAACAGTAAATGGATAAACAGAAATGTAGGTAACTAAATGTAGGTAATCTACTGAGATAAACATTTAAGTGAATTTATATAAGTACATATAATTCTAATATGTGGTCTCTAGAATTTCATTTTAAGCTGTTACAGATATACTATTTTTCTATCTTCTAAACTTCTAGAATTATTTTTATTTCTCCCTTTTCCATCCAAATTAAATAGTTATAGGAAATTATTCAGATTTTTCCTACACAGCTTATTCAGCTATGTTATATAGAACCTGACTATGGTATATTGTAGACATGGATTTCCAAACACTTAGTTTTCAAAATTGAAAAATAAGTTGAATTAATCATAAATATAATGATATAAAAATGTGCCTATGTAAAAAGCTAGTCCACACTTTATATCATTAACTGACTCCAGACACTAGCAAACTAATATACTTACCTAAAATAACAATTACGTCACTATACTCGCTTCAATAATATCTATGTAACATTCCTACTAGCTGGAGAATTGGTTTGCTTGTGTTTTTGTTTGGAGGATTTTTTTTTTTTGAGTAGTAAATTTCAACTTACAGAAATACATCTGCAACAAAGGTCTTTAAAAACAAGCAAACAGGAAATAAGTGCAGTACCTCCCACTGAATCGATACCACACACATAAACAAAAGCTTTGTAAAAATGAAAAATCAACTACTGAAAAGTTTCCCAATTGTTTTATCTGACTTTTTCCTATTCTATTCTGAAGAACATTATGTTTTTCTATTAGTTCTTCACACTTTCGAAGACAGTTTTGCATATTTCTAAGTGAGAATCTGAAAAGGTATGGTTAATTTGCAACATTTAGAATAACCTATGAAAAACAACAAAAAAAAGATAATCATGAAATTCAACTGGAAGCAAAATGAATAATAAATGCTCTTCACCCACTTAAAAAAATAGCCATGTTACAGGCTTATTAAAATTATCCTATTCTTCTAGGAGATGCAGGGAAAAGACAGACACATTGATATTTTCCCCAGTTTCACTGTGCTCATAATATGAAGGAGACAGATGCATAAGTCTATGTGTGTTTATAATGTGGTAAGTGTATAAGGCACAAGAAAAAAGTGCTTTAGGGGAATAAAGAATCCGCCCACTTCCTCTTTCTCTTTCAGTCATCTTCCTCTTTCTGGGGGTGTCAGAAAGCTGATGTTTGGGGTGGTGAGACAGAATTGGTAACATAGTGGTCCCAGCAGGTAATGAACAGCACAAGCAAAATCAGGGATCTACAGAAATTCACAGTGTGTTTGAACAATCGGAAGCAGTTCTAGACAGGTGCAGGGCAAAATTTGAGACAACAGAAAAAATAAGATTGAAGGTTAGACAGGAGTCAGTTTGCAGGGATTACGTAGTTATTAAAAAGCTTAAAGGAAAACTACTGTATGGTTTTAAAGAAGTCACAAACTACCACATTGGAATGGTAAGTAGATCTCTTCGCCACGTGGATGTTAGGCAGGGGGAAGCCAAGCTGACAGCTTTGGCATGAAGAGTATCTCAGCACAAGTAAGAGGTCGTGGACTGAACCAGTGGAGTGGCATCAGGGATGCCATCCAAGGCACAAATTCAAGAAATGCTTTTAAAGATACAGACAGGAAACAGTGAGGTTTATAGCTGATTGATAATGGAAATAAAAAGATAAAAATCGTAAGGATGCTTTAGATTTCTGACTTTAAAAACGGTATCAGTAGTAAAAAATCTGAGAGGAGGATCATGAGTCTTCCGTGATAAAGAGGAGATTTGGGGGCTTTGAGTTTTGCATCATCATTCAGTGTTACATAAATTACACAGAAATGTTCCTCAGCAGGTGGAAGGGTGGTTCTGGGGCTATAACGGGAAAGAAGATAAAAATATTATGATCCACTTTGAAACAGTGCATAGGATAAAGTTGAAATGACATACATGGATAGATGGATGAAGGAACATACATACAAGGAGAAAAGCAGAAACCAAAGATTTGAATTAAAAACAAACTCCAATAGCCTTTGACATAAGATACAATTTTGTGATCATAAAATGGGGAAAAACAATTAACATGAATTGTATACACTGTACTTTAAACCAAATCCAAAACGAACTTCAAGAAAGAAAAGGTGGTTATTTGCATAAAGTTCAGAGGAATCTAGTAAAATAAAAAGACTAGAGTTTCATTTGTCATTGTCAAGGTCTCTAGGACTTGGGTTGTTTTACATTGAAAAACGAATTGAAAGACAACAGCTGAAAAAGGAAACGGGGACGGGGCCTGAGGGAGGAGGATGTGGTTTTAAAACAGGTGGTTGAGGAGAAGTGTAGACTATTAGGGATGTAAACATATTTGTAACAGAAGATGAAAGAAACACACTGAAGACCAAGGAAAGTGAGGATACCACAGAAGCAAAACACCCTTTCAGAGCATAAAGAACTGTGTATTTTAATGGGGCATAGCGTGTTTCAGCTTTTCACACTTTCTCTAACTAAGGCACTAATCATCACAGATAACATATTATTTCAGTAAGACCAAAAGACATTAAACTTTTGAAGACCCCAAATCGCTCAAGGGACTGAAATAGGATATAGAATTAAAAAAAAAAAAACTCAAAAATAAATCAGTGTTCCAAAGTAGAATATTTACAGAAAGGTCAGGAAAAAAAAGTATGTCTTACATACTTTTAAAGAATACTGGAACTCTGAATATTGAGCGATGTTTTCATGTACTTTATGAAACACAAGAACCTTTATATAATTATATACCATAACACACACAGTTTAGATGTCTGGGGGATATCTTCAAATTTTTAAATAAATATAAAGTTAATTTGTTTTCAATTTAAAGGTTATAGACTTAATTCAATAAGCAGTATTTATTTTCCTTTATCCATCAATGAATACATTTTCATTATATAAATTTAAAAAGTAAAAAAAAAAACTATTCATAAAGGTTAAAACTTATGTGAAATTATCATTCTAATGAGGAAGACACGCCATTTAAAAATTTGAGATTTTTAAAGTGCCCTGCAAAATGCACATAACCATGTATGTTTAACAAGCATATTTGGCTTGAAATAAAATCAAAATGAAATTAACATTAAAGCAGTAAGTAATGACTCTAAGTGATGTCATTAAAAAATTATAATCTTGGCTTTCACTTCTACTTGATTACATAACAAATTGAGTTTACAAGGTCTTTTAAAATTCAAATATTGCTATATACAAATATGGACATCATTCCTAAATTTTTAATTCTTGCTCAGAGCTTCAAAATATAGTATGGGAGGTTTTGCTCTGTAATAGATATAAATTGAAAAGCAAAAGTTCCCTGGATTGTGAGCTCCTAGTGGGCAAAAGTTCTGACTTGTGCATTTCTAAGGTGACTGTCACTTTCTGATGCAGAATAAGTATCCAGTGTAACAAAGTTAAAGAATTAATGAAATAAAAAATGCAGTAAAAATATGTCCTCCTGAGATAGCAAGAAGAAAAAATGTTACTTTTTTTCCCCCTCAAGGGATACTGTTAAGAATCTCCTGATAGAGACAAAATGAATAGTCTATTTAAAAAGTATCTGAAGAACTTATTAGAACCAATATAGTTAATGCACTTTTAGGGTAGTAAGAGTGCTTTTAAGGTATTATGTGGATAATTTTATTTTCGGAAAAATCATTATACAGTATTCAAAGTAAAGGCTCTACTTCTAAAAAGTGTAATTGAAGGACTATTTCCATTAACTTGGTTCTCTGATTATCTGACATAATATTGGCATATAAAAGAAAAGCCGCTTTCCCAAGTGGAGCTGGCCTGGTGAGCTCACTCTTAGTGACGCTCGGTTATTGGAAGTGCCTAAGAATAAAAACAGTCCCTCAGTCCATCAGCCCCAAAGCTCCTGTGACTTGCATGGAAAGATCATATTTCTGCACGCTCACCGAACAGAAGGTACAAATAAAATCTCAAAGCAGGTCTACTCTGCAGCAATATGGTGCAAAGACAAATAGAAAACAGTTTTCACTCTTGGGGAATTCCATATTCTAACACGGGGCTAGAAGCAAAGCATTTTTATGAAGTGAAAAAAACCTGAAAACTATGGAGGTTATTTGAAAAACAAACAAAAAAGCAAAACAAAACAAAACGAAAGGACAGTGGGAGGCTCAGTGAAACTATCAAAAGTCCTCAAAACTAAGTCAGTCCTTAGCCAATACATCTCCTTGGAAAACACTGGGCAATTCAATATGCAACCTTGGGGAGTGCAAAATTCAAATGTGGGAGTATAATATCTGAATTCTCCCTCACCGTGATTTCTCAATCACGTTGCTAGCAGCATCTTCTTGCTATTTATTTGGAGTTTCCGTGTGATCTGGAGAGAACTGTTCCCTGCTAAACCTCCATCTTCCCTTTTGCCTGAGGACCAAATTTTGTTACTATGGTAATTTGATCCCTCTCCATTGCTCCCTACGTCTCTGTCCTTCACTGTGTATGTTTTCTTTATTATATAATCATGATTTAGAAGGGCAGACACGCCAGCCGCCCTCCCAGACTACGGCTGTGCCATCTCACTTTCATTTCCCTGATGGCTTCCTTGTAATTAGATTTGCAAAAACAGCAAAAGGTCTCATTTTGAATGGCAACAGCTGTTGACATCAACATTATATTGAATAATTTACTGGTTTAATTTTAGTTGCAAAACGATAAAACCCTCTCGTGGATGATTTCAGCAGGAAAACTTTTCTTTCTGTTGCTGACTCCTTCTTCTGGTCCAAGCAGTACTAGTTTTTTTTTGTTTGTTTGTTTGTTTGTTTTGTTTTTTCTCCATGAAACAGTTTCAGCTCAAGTATGCCAAAAACTCACAAGGAGAGAAGTTTATGAATTCTAGTTTCCTTGAAGCAAAGTGTCTGTGTGACTATTTGTCCTCCTCAACCTATGTGTTCATGTATAAACCTAAGAGCTGGCAGGTAGCTGCTCTGTTGGAAGGTGATTTGAATTTGCACAGAGGTATATTACTTTACCTTCTGAGGCTCTGCTCCTTCACTGAGTGACATTAGCTGATTTCTTGACCTGTAGGAAATTGTAGCAGCTTCTGCAAATTGATGTTTTCTTGGCAGAAAATGATCTTGCTTGCTTAACTTCAATAACCTCTAACAGCTACTCCTGAATCTGTCAGAAAATCTATTTATGGACCCTCTTACTCCTTGCCAGCTATGAAGTACTCAAGATGATTCTCAACAAGTGTGCACTCAGGAGTGTGTGTGTGTGTGTGTGTGTGTGTGTGTGTACAGAAGGAGAATAGCATAGGTGAAACCTGGAGAAAGGAGAAAAAAACTATGCTCAGGTAAATCTGTTATCTTTAAAGAAATGGTTTTTGGAATTTGCTAAATAAGTAATGGTGTTTTTAAATAAATTCTGTGCTTCTTCTCCTTGTGGATTAGCTCATCAGTATGATAATCTAATTAATATACATTGTATAACACATTCACTTGAAAGACAGAAAAATATGCACCAATCTTTGGTCCTATCACAGTCAAAGACAGTCTATGTTTGAGAAAAACATGCAAAAATTACATTTATAAAGTGGATTATTTTATTAATACTTATCACTAAGACCCTTCTATACCTGGTCATCATTCTGCCCTGAGATTTTTTTGAAGTAAAGCAACATAGTATATATCAAAGAGAAATGTCCTTACTCTAAGCTGACTGTGACAAAAAAGAAACAGAAAACACATTAAATATTTAATAAACACAAACCTCAAAAGTTTGATTGCTTTCTTGCCTGAATCTGTGGTAAAGTTTGGAAGAATTTCTATACTGAATCCACAGGACACTTGACATTAACTCTGAGAAGAAGTCAACAGAATGCTTATAGCTAAATGTTAAACAGAAATATTTCAGAAACTGAAACGTTGATTCTCTTAAATCTCTTCACACCAATGTATCAACTATAAAGATGAATAGAGTTTTGCAATAATATCTTGAACTAAGGCGAAAATATCAGAGAGGAAGAGGTATGTGTGCCCCTGCTAACCAGCGACACACGCAAGGCTGAGCTCATGCAAGCAAGGACACTTACCCTTGGGTGCAGTTTGGGTGGCAAGGATGGCACTCCCGATCCTGGTCCGCGTACTTGAAAATGAAGCTGTTTGCCCCCTGTAAGCCATCTGGACACTTTTCCACACAGTTCGGGCCGTCCTTAAAATGCGAACACTTTGTGCAGTTGTCAGGCCCCTGAAATGTGAAGAAAGATTGAGGGAAAAAAGTGGAATTTCTTTCCTCTGAAAGTTCATGTATTGTGTTACTAAGACATTAGTTGGTGGCAAAGAAATCCTTCTCTAAGGAGAACACTTTCAGTAATAAAAATGTGGAGATATCTACTGTAGTAAAATTAGCAGTTTTGAAACCTTGGATGTGTGTGGAATATGTTCTTGGAATATTTCCCTTTTAGAAATCAGCAGCTCCTGGCTCAACTGATTTCCATATTATGCCTCTAGTGTGAATTAATTTGACTGGCACAATTGTTCAGTGACTGCATCAAAAAGCGGTCAGTATCATCTTGCTATTCATTCCTGGAGATAGAAGAGTAGAACAGTATTTGGTATTAACACATTTTTCCAAGGGAGAAGCTTCATCACCATCGCTGGGAATGGGAAATACTCTTATTAAGTAGTTAATGAAAAATAGATACAATGGAAATTGTACAACACTGTATTTCATATGTTGGTTATACAGAGGCTTTCATTGAAAGATAAATTTTAAAATTCACCATGATGAATTACAAGAAATTAGGGAGTTTGGGTAAATAACAGTAATTCCTAGGTAATTTTTCAATTCAAACCAGCTTGTACTAGTGCCCAAGTCTTATCATGTCTATTTATATGAATTTTAGTAAACCATAGGACACTGCTGAGAATTCTATAAATGCATATTCTGATAAGCAAATGTCAAAACTTCGAGAATAGTGAGTGTAAACAGAGAAATTTATCCAAAGATAAAGATGATATAAATATGAGCCTGACAAATTTAAATATAATTAAATCACTTTATATACTATGTTTATAATACACATTAACATTCTCATATGCATAGTTAATAAGCAATGATACAACAATATTAATGTCCCCAAAAGAATGATACTTAAAAAACTAATGTTAAATATCTAGGAATTTAATAAAATAAAAATTGCTAGTATCTGGTGCAATAGATAGTAAGCACCCAAGAAATGATGTGTTATATATCCTTGGATTAAAGAAACTAGAGAATATTTTTATCCAAATGCTACTTTACATAAGAAATGCTCAGATTTTTATGCATTCACCTATTTTAAATATTATCTTCTAGAATTCTTATTCGACAGCACATTGTCTCAAGATTTTAAAACAATAGAAACCCTGCACACTTTCCCCTTCCCAGCCCCCCAGCCTCTTCCCCTGCCCAGTTCTCCCATCACACATCTGTGTATAGGAAGTCCACCAATTGTACCAGCTCCTACTGAAAACAACTGAGATGAATAGGACCCAATAAAAACTTAGAGAAGCATGTATATTAGGTTTTCTGTTTAAAAACATTGCATTTGAGAGCTGACTGTTCGCATAACATGCAGAACTGCTTAACAGGCAGGGACCATGGAGACCAGGTCAGTTCTTAGGAGTGATTTCTATACCAACACAGATCAGCCAGAAATTAGAAGCTGGTAGAACCCAGCACCAGGAAAACGAGACTTAACCTATTTTAAAATTGAAAAAAATTGAAGTTGCCAATTAGAAATAGTTGTAAAGAAAAAAAAGATAATAAAAAAGAAAAGAGGCTAAAAATTCCTGAGACTGCTTGAGGTGTAATCACCCAGCTGTCTATGTTACTCTTGTGATGTCAGGTTCAGAGCTAAAAAGAAAAAAAATTGAAAATTAGCCCATGAAACCTAATCCCTACTGTACCTGAAGAGTTCACTAATGGTGTCTTTTTATTTTTTTCCCAAAAAAGAATACTTCACATGCATCCAATTTTAACATCTGCTCTTGGGTACTTATGCACGCAATACCATCTATTTTATAGAATCATTTACCCTGCAAGTATGCCCAGGCATGACTTATCATATGAGACAAGAGATAGGCCCCTCGCAGAATACAGAAGAAAGCATATGATGAGTATATGGGGTTGTTAGAGTGTGAATTAGGAATTACTTTTTTATTAAATTCTTGTGGTGTAAAAAATTTCTAGACAAAATTAGAAAATGCAAAAAGGCCTACCAGACCAAATATATGTAAATCTAAGTATATTTTATCATAATAGGTCATTTTCATTTTTATTTTTAAGCATCTCGGCTGTTTGATTTTTTACCATAATACGAAGTCAAACATCCTAAGCCTATGCTAAAAGACATCCAGATCTATCTCTAAAAAAACAAAATGTAGTGATTTTCCATTTCATTTCCATAAGACACTGAAAAATCTTGTGTGTCCAAGATTTTTTTTTCAAATATTCCCAAAGTGTTTTTTTTTTTTTTTTTTTTTTTTTTTTTTTTTTTTATTTAAGAGGAAAAAGAGAAAAACACAAAACAAGACAAAGCAGTGTAAGGTTACACATAATACAGAACTACAAAAAAAAAAATAAACATAACAGTAAGAAATCACCTGTTAATAGATTACATAATATCATCTTGGAAATAGTTGCTCAAATCACAGTATCAAAGAATACAAAGTAGACATTCAAACGGAGAGACTGCAAACAGCTGTGTTCAATGATCCAAAAACATTAATATAGTCAGCTATTTAACATCCCTAAACACACTTGTTGTTATATCCGTTAGAGCTCTTTTTTTTTTTCCCTCCCTCTCTTTTTTATAACAAAATTTACACATTTTGGATTTTATTACTCCTCAGTTCTCATTACTCTCTTGGGGGGGAGATAATAAAGTCAAATATGGCAAAACAAAGCTGTAAGTCCAAACCAAGGATAGACATAGCACATGATGTAGAACAGAGTACAAGGTCATCAACAATGGTTATCAACATTGTCTCTTGTTTCCTTAAAAGGAATTGTCTATCTCATTAGATATTATAAAGTTGGACAAAACAGTGGAGTGTTTAAAAGCCAGGTGTAGTTAATCAATGTAAGAATAGAAAATGAAAGTGAAATAGGTCACCCTGGCATATACCTATAAGCCCAGCTGAGACAGCAGGGTCACCAGTTCAAGCTCAACCTTGGCAACTTGGTGATTTAGCAAACCCTTATGTCAAAATAAAAACCAAAAAGCACTGATACGTAACTCAGTGCAAATGTCCTGGGATCAGTATCCACCAGTGAAAAAGGAGAAAGACAGACAGAGTGACTGCCAGGGAGAGAAGGTACTAGGAATTCAAAGCATCCCAAAATGCTAAGGCTTACAGGGAGACTTCTGAACCTCTCCAAGAGTTTCAGTGTATATTACATCAAAGGAACAAAAACATCTTTTTCTGAGAGCTATCGCACCATGAGGGTTATTTGTTATGTCAGCATAACGTTTATTGACCTGACTTGAACAACTGTTTGCACGTTTGTGAAAGTGTATTCTGAAAATCAGTCCCTGTCCCGTCTCTTCTTGGATTCCTCCCTTTCAAGTGTGTGTCTTGTTTTCTTGAACTTCATTTCCCACACTTTTCTTTCCTCCCATTTTCCTTGCTTCATCTTTCTCAGTAAGACTGTACAGGAACAAGTAACACAGAATGGGTAGAATTGTAAAGATTGAGTAATTTAATCAAATTGATAGAGCCAAGAGCAAATAGAAAAGTATAAAAATGCAAAGGCCTTCTTTTATTTCGAATCTCTTCCTCTCAAGATTATTCTAGATGGATAATACCATCCACTGACATATAGCTGTCACTGTCACCAAGGACACTGGTGCCGAGGGATAAAAGTGGCAGTGTAAGCACGAGAAACTCAGATTCAGAACTTCTTTGGCTAACCATAGCTGCATGTCCTACCGACTTATTGATTGTTTGGGAGTCACTTTCCAATCATCGTACAAAAAATTTTCTTTATATTTTAAATGGAGAAATTTATAGCATGTTTCAGAGTTAACTTCTTGGTATGCATAAACAGACATCAGGTATTATTATCAATAGGGAAACGTTGACAAATTAAAGAAATATGATTTGAACAGAATAAGCCATGAGAACAAGAGGGGGACTTCTGTTTCATTTTGATGATTTTCTTCTGTTTCTTCAGTGTCATTCTCCTGGGGAAGCTTCCGAAACGCTTAGGTATTCTAAGTGACACATGCCTGAGACGCGGCATACTATACTCCTGCGTTCCGGTTGAGACAATCAACGTGTGGACACAGAAAAATAGCGAAAATCTTTTTCAGAAAGCTGAAAGCAAGCAACCTCTCGGTGACAGCAAAATTTGGGTTATTATTTGAGTTCCGCCATGGCAGCTTTTCTAAAAAGACACTGCCTTCCAACCTGTTTAGCATTTCAAAGCTCACTGATCACTTATTTTGGATTCCTTGATTCTGTGCTCTTACTCAGGACAGAGGCTCTATCTAGTTTTAGTAAACTTTCCATTCTCCTGACTCTGACCTCCGGACATATCAATCCACCATGTCCACCCTTTTGATACTAATCTCTGGGTGTATCAATCCACCATTTTAATCTTAATTATTTTGACCCAGCCAATATGGCCATTATAAAATGAAAATGTGTCCATTATATACTTTTTTTTCATTCCCGCTTAATTTTTTTCATTCCCTCTTAATCGAACATTTTAAAAAGTGCTAGAGGATGATAGCAAATGTTTGGTTTTCTCATGTTTATTTTTTAAACTGTCTCAATTCCTTTGAGGCACAAATTAATAAATCAACTGTAGAAATATACACATTAAGACAAATTAATTCTGTGACACTGGTAACTGGATTATCCAGTGGTATAATTTTGTACAAGCAACAGCTTGAGGAGTGGAAAGAGCACACAGTGAACAGCAAGCACCCTAAGCCTGCGCGCTGGATCTGGGTTACATAGACAAAGAACAATTCATCCTGCAATTCTGAGATTTTGCTCTCAGATTAACCTGACAAATGAGTCAAATACCTAAACAACGAATGAAAATGTATGTCAAAATAATCAGCATTAAGAACTAGCTGGCAGATAGAATTTGTGTTAAGTCATGAATATGGTGTATGATTATCATAATAATTCTATCAACAGGAGGTAAAGGGATCACTGGACATTTTCACTCATGGAAACTAATATAGTTACATTGATGAGGTTTCCTAGCTAACATTATGTGGGCATGTCTCATGAAAGTACTCTAGAAAAAAACGATGTATTAATGAATACATTTAAATTAGTCATAAGCAGATTAGTTTTCTATATAGATGATTAACTGAGACAAAAGTATTAATAAGTAGGAATATTTCATTGTCTTGAAAAGTAGTAATGACTAGGATGATAAAAATATCTTAATGAATTGCTTTACAATATACAAAACAAAATAGATAAAAAAGACTAATTTTATAAAATAAAATATGCAGTGAATGCCTACAGAGTGAGTTTTGATAAACACTGTGAACATTAATTTTGATTCTGTTGGTAAATAAAAACTCAGCAAAATAGGTAAGCTAATGGAGACTGATTCAAAATATATGCTAAAAAATATTTTTTTGTAGAGTAAAAAGCTAAGATGTCTCAGTGATTTCTTCAAAATAAAAGGGAAAAGGAAAGAAAAAAATTATGTATCAAGAAAAAAATGAAGGTAGATAATTGTAATAAGATATCCATAGGAAATATCAGTGTAGAGTAGCACTTTTAAGAATTCACAAAATAAATTTTAGGCAAGTTTTGGCAATTGGTCCAATTTTTTTAAGCATTTCTACAAATGTATACCTAACATACACTGACAAGAGTTAGAAACATGATTGCCAGTGTTGTTTCAAGGAGATGAAATTCTTGATTACATTAGTTGCTTATTTTAAAAGTTTCAGATCTAGGGGATCTCTTTCTTTTTCTGTGACTTACAATCAAAAGTTACCTGTCATGGTTTATGTCTGTGGTCCCTTGGCCTCATGAGTTTGCATTGTGCATTTGTGATGGTTCACTGGATAGTGCTTGGATGGTGTCAGTGCTCCACCCACATAGGGGTGGAGCCAGGATGTGATGTAATGGCAGGAAGTAGGAGTGTCTTGTTCTTTTGCCTGGTTCCTCCCTGCTGTTTGCAGCCGCCATGAACTGCGGCCCAGCCATGCCCGCCTGCCTTGGAGCCAACTGAGTATGGACTGAAACCTCCAAAAACTGTAAGAAATAAACCTTTCCTTTCCCAACTTGGGTTTCAGGTATTTTTGTCTCAGCGACAAGTAAAAAGTAACTAAGACATTATCTAACCTGTTATTTTCCTAAGAACTCATATCGCTGTTTGAATTTGCTTTATCAACCAATGACAGAAAGTTTCTCCCTTGTTCCTGAGTATCCTCTTTATGAATTCACCTTTCTCATGCTTCAAATAATTGTACTTTCTTTGCTATTCATAATGAAGAAAGCAAATAGCTGTATGGGCCCTTTTGTACTTGGGATATTACACATTAAATAGCCTTTAGACTTTGGTTCTTTGGGACAAATACCATTATTCCCCCCCCCCCCCCCGGTCTGATTTTTCCCACAATCATCCTACGGTTGTTTGAACTTCTCAGATCTCTGACATCCTCTTTAGATAAAGTTTCAGAAGAGCTCAAGGAGAAGTTTGGAGGGCTTAATGATATTTTTTTCTAAACTAATTAACTGCTGAATAAGCCCTCTGGTATAAAAATTAATACTATTCATATTTAAATGAATTTATGATGTCATGTTGAGTACGTGATGTCTCCAGATGTTGATCCCCACATTATACATTGAGAAATGATTCAGTTGCTGATAAACGGTAAATTTTTCTAAAGTATGAGTTTGACACTGTGGAATAACAAACCAATACTGATTTTATCATTGAAGAAAAGCCCATTTGATGGAATCATACAAAAATATGTGTGACTTTTCTCGCTAACGATAACCTCAAATTATGTAAGTAGCAATTCATCCATTCTCGGTGCCATTGGTTCTTCTCAGATTTTCATAGCTCAATGCTTCTGTCTGCCATAATAATACACTGCTTTAGATTTTAGCGGTGAATAATTATCTTTTTCCTGCTTTCTCCTGTCCTTCACCTTTCCCTAATAGGACATGCTTAAATGCAGATGAGAATGTGTTTTCACATCCTCCACATACAGTGCAAACTTTCACACGTGCGTATTTCTAAATTTTTCCTCTTTCCAAATGTTTCAAAGTATAGTTCAAACCCTGGTTCCTTCATCTTCTTTCTTGTCCCCAATGTGGGTCCCAAAGGTAGAGTCACCTGCCCTTTCTTTTGCCTTCCTAAAACAACTTACACAGATTTTATCCCTCAACCTAATTAATTTACATCTTTCTTTCCAACAATGTACTGTCGTCCAAGACACATTTTGTGCTTACAAATGTATTATTTGGGAAATAAATATTTATGACTTTGAATTTTCAAGTATTCTATCACAACCAACCTGCAAGCCTCTCAAGGTTAGAATATTAAACCGTTTTTCAGTAGCATCCTATAAAGACCATGGAAGGATGGATGTACAGTAAGATAGTGACATAACAGCGTACTTCGTGGAACTACATAAGGCGACACAGCCACAGAAGCCTCCGGACTCACCGGCCCATGGCACGTGAGGAGCCCCTCTTCCACCTTCTCACACTGGGGGTCACACTCCACGCAGACCGAGCCGTTCTCGAACTCCCGAAACTCACTGTGAAAACAGCAGCAGCGTGAGAAGGAGAAAGCAAACGGGCTGTCAACTTAACAAATGAAGCAACATCTGCTGAAAATCCTGCTGGCAGAGTAAATTCTTGAGTTTGTTTCTCTATGTGCCAGGAGCATGGAAACATTTCCCTGTACATTAAGGAGGGAGCTTTCTGTTAGGAGGAAAGATAAATGGCAGCCAGATGGTTCTCCCTGGCCTCCACTGGAATGGCAGGTAGTCATTCTGGAAGCCTCTCTCCTGTGAGATGCTCTGGCCCTCTTTATAAGCAACAGCAAGGAAAAAGAAAAAGCCCTCTGTGACTCTTCTGATCATGCAGCAAGCAGAACCATTTTGCCTTAAGCATTAGGCTACGCCTGTTTGTCTTTAGGAAAGATTTCACTATTTGCTGGAGCTTTAATTCCTAGACCCTGGAACCACAATTGTATTTTTCTTGTTGCTAAGCTACATGAACCTTGCCTGTCCTTGTCCTTCAAATCCCAAGACTCCTCAATTTATTTTGGGGGAACTTCAAAAAACATTTTGATTTCTTTTCTTCTTTTAAAATATCTGCCTTGGAGAATTAGAGAGCCTATATTTTTATTCTGGGTTTTATTTTCTTCTATTACTGGTCTAGTATTGTAACCTTTTTTCAGTCAATTCTTTCCAAATTCTATGTAGTATAAAACTAAAAAAAATATTCTAAAAGTGTCTAATTAAACTGTCATGGCATGATGGTCATTCCATATCCTTACATTTTTCTGTCTGTGTATTATGACACTATTAACATTAAAAATTGTCAAAGTCTACTCTTTAATAACTAGATATAAATCATCTGTAATCTATTTAAATCACTTCATTTTCACTAATATACAAGAAGCTGAGGTACTATGTAAAAATAATATAGAATATCATGAGTCACTAATAAAATTTGATTGTATTTATAGTTTAATTTATTAATTTATGCCTTTGTATTCTGTACTATGTTTCCAAATCAATAAAATTACAAATAGAGGCATTGTGGATTAATTAGATGATAAAATCAAATATTTTTGCCCTAGAGTGAAGACGTTATTTTTTCTCATTTAAAGACAAAAGTCTTAATTAGGATAGAGTCCAAAAGGTAAAATATGTTTTCAATTGGTTAGATTAAGACTACTTATTCCAAGGCAAAATAATTATGTTTGCCTTTTAAAATATATAGCATAAATGTAAGGATGCACATAGCTACATCGTTTTTGTATTGTAATGTGAGTTATTAGCTATTATAGATCAAATACTTTATGCATGTTCTTTAGTTTAAAATCTTCATTAGAAAAATGGATTTTCCTTTGTATTCTACATAAGCACGAGTGATACAAAGCACTCTATGGCTCGCCATCAGAACACAAAAGCCCAATGACTGAGTATGAGGGTGTTGTGAAATTGTAAAGAAAATATAAAACAATGATTTTAATCAGATTTTAAGATAGCAGTCTGAGATCTTCAGCTAATTACTTGTTTGGGTTTATAGTTTCTGTGGCCATTAAAAGTTAGACTTGTAAAAGAGGGCCATTATATTTCAGTTACTAAAACATGGGTTTTGCTTTTCTTACTCTTTTTCAAAACCCACTTCTCCATCACTGCAGCTGAGGAGAAGCCCGGGCCATGAAAACACAAACGCCGTCTGCTACCAATGACAGCGCCTCTGGCTCTGTTCCTTTCTGCTTCCCTAAAAGTTCTCCCATGCTGTCTTCCCCACCTCTTCTGCCATGCAGTCTTTCCGTCCCCACCATCGTTCTGTTTCTTCCCTGTTCCTGGTGACACCATCGTGACTCTCAGAGTTCTCTTTTCATTTGTATCTAACAAAGCTCGTTGTTTTGAGCATCGGCTTTATCCACGAACTTCTGCTTGCTCTGTTTTTGCTGTGGTGCACGTTAGTTACCCAATCCTACAATCAACAATGAATACGGTGATATCTGTCTTCCCCAATTTTAAATTCTAGCATATTTTTACACCTTAATGCTTTAGCTTCTCCGGGCCTCAGTTTTCCAAATATCCCAAGTAAAAAGAGAAAATAATATTTCACCCAGAGGTTGCAATTCTTAATTATGAAAATGCTTGTTAGGATTTTCCTTGGTGTTTTGGTATTGATGTTAATGTTTCAGAAGCATTGCCAGGCAGGAAAGGTTTTCAAGTTCCACTGCAATTATCTTTTTTCTGCATTTTGATTGATCAGACATCCAAGTTAGGCCTTTCTGAAGCACACTGACTTATATGATCTGGGTTTGAATTATAATCAAGCAGAAATTGATTAATTTTTCCTTTTTCTTCAAAAAGTTCTATTTTTAGGATTTTTTTCTAATTTCCAGATAGGTAGGTAGATAAATACATACATACATATATACATACATAAATAGATGGGATAAATTCTGAATGTTGTTTCGTGTGCTCTGTGTTTGAATACTTTCAACAGCTTTTAAAATGACTGTTTTTACTTAACATTTAACCAGCTATGATTAATAGACAAAATGGAAATAATGATAAAAGTATTCATGGCAGGAACTTTAAGCAGCCCTTATCCTGCATTTGTCTCATTTCATAATCACAACTCTCCTGTACATTTGTCACTCTTATTAGCCCTGTTTTTTGTACAAGAACCAAGTTTAGATGGCAAAGTGTCACTGGCCAAAGCTCCCTGCTCCTTGGAACCTGAGGGAGAGAATCAGTTGCCCCGAGGTGCCCAAGGCCACTCATGGCCTATGGCCAGACCCATCTCAAGAACAAAACAAAGGAAGGAAAAGAAAAAAGAAAGATGAGTTTAAAATGATTAGAGTTTGTCAAACTTTGGACATGCAAATGAGGTTGGGGTCACTCTTCCTCAAAGGCCACCTTAGCCAGTTTACAGAGGAACTAACTTATACTACAAGATAGAAAGTAGGAATTCACCACTGGGCAGGCAAGACGGGAATACAACAACCACAGGACATTTGCTTTAAGTATCTTTCAAGACAATCCCGTGTTTGATTTCTTAGGGCACCATTACTATTGTACTGTGCACATTAAACATTAAAAATTTTAAATTTCACGTATTTGACTTAATGATGTAAATGTAAAAAATATTCAATATCAAAATGTAGTCTAGTAACCAGCGTTTATTTAGCAAACGTGTCATTGTCTTTTGGTTTCCTTTGCTTTTGGCTTGTAGAAATGTGACAGAACACATATACATACACACACACACACACACAAACATGTGTGTGTGCTTGTAAGTTTATATGTGTTTATAAATTTCACATTTCTGACAACATCAACACTAAAAGATTTTAGAAAAACAATGACATTCTAGAAAGTAAAGAGAAGAAAATCAGATGCTCGAGTTCTAGTGTTGGCTCACTTTTCTAGTGTTGTGATTTTAGCCAATATTTAATCACACTATGTTAATAATATTTTGATGTTAGACAAAGTGATTTCTGACACCCATTCCCTCTTTAGAACTGCAGATATATATTTAATAAACATTAAATTCCTTTCCTTTATTATTGCCTTTTATAGTTTGTGCAGTTTATGGTCATCTTGAGGAGTGCTTACATGTACTATTTTTTGTCTCTATTTTTAAATTTCTCCTTCCAGCATTTCTTTCCTCCTCTCCAATTTTCCTGGCCCATTTTTAATTCTTACCGATATTATTAATCATAGCTCATGCTATGACATATATTATTTACATTTATTGACCTTGTAAGGTTCCTTAACAAACCATCTTTAGTTTACTGATTTCCCCTTCCCCATCCCTTTCCCCTTCACACTTTTCCCTTGAACATTTTCCACTTGCAAGAGACCTATCACCTTGTTGCCTTCTATCCATCATTTAATATTCTCTTTTTAAAAATTTCTCACTCAGTTGAGAGATATCATATGGTATTTAAACTGGTTTATTTTCCAGATGGATCCGTTTCCCTACAAATGTCCCAAAGTTGTCATTCTTTATAGCTGAGTAGTATTCCATTATATAGATATTGCATTTTCTTTAACCAGTTGTCTGTTGATGAGGATACATGCTGCTTGCAGGATTTAGCTATTATGAAGTTTGTCACTATTAACACTGGTTTGCATGTATACTGTGGTATGATGACTTAATCATTCTTGGGAAGATACCTAGAGGTAGACAGCTGGGTCATCTGGATTTTCTATTTCATTTCTTTGAGAAGTTTCCATGCTGATTTCCATAGTACTTGTACTAGTTTGGGTTCCCACCAACAATGCAGGAGGGTTCCCTTATCACCACAGCCATGCCAGCATTTGTTATTGTTTGATTTTCTAATGGTGGTCACTCTTTCCAGATTAAGAGGGAATTTTAGCAGTGTTTGAATTAGCATTCCTCTAAATGGTCAGAGGAGTTGAACATTTTTTTCAGGTATTTGTTAGCCATTTGTGTTTCTTCCTCTGTGAAGTATCTTCATTTCTTTCATAAAATTTTGTGGTAACAGTTAGTGGAACAAAAATCTATTATGATTTATTTTAATGACGTTTGCTGCACAGACAAACATACATTACTCGGAGGTATTTTATGCATAGCACACCTCCTTTCATAACATGAGCAAGAGTACAATCCAATATGACAAGTAGCATTGCATTTTCTTTTCATTGTTAACTATGCGAGCTGGCTGTACTATATAAAACCATAAGCTGAAATATCTCAAAAAATGATTAAATTTGACTTAGAGCCATCTTTATATTTAGCCTTTAATTTTTATTTTTCTCTTAAATTTCATGGAAGGATATTATTTTGGTCATCTTTTTAAAAAAGACATATACAAATACCATTACAATAAACATTACTACAAATGACTAAAAGTAGAATATATTATCAATATGTTTTTATCCTTCTCATATACAATGGAAAATTACAATGCTGTTGGGGATTATGGAAATAAATGTGGAGGTACAAGAAAAGTGAAATTCAAAACTCCACAACTGTGCTTTCCAGACTTGAAAATGCTTTCTGTTGATCAATAGAAATCCTTACTCAGTAACACTGTTAAAAATGCATTCTACACACACAAAAGGCAATGCTGATGTGTGAGGTGGCCTCAGGAATCTGTGAAAGGCCTGTAGTAAGGCGGGCACCAGGTTTTATTACTGGCAATATGATTATCGCTGTACCACAGGGACTTAAAACACTCTACTTAATACACACTAAAAAGTGGCAGGACACTTTTTAAAACCTCTCAAGTTTTCCTGTGGGGCTAAGCGGTTATCAAAAATGTAGATACATGGACCTTTCCTAGCATACAGCAGATACACAGCCTGAGTGGGAATAAGAGTTGAATGGTTTAACTGCAGATGAAAAGGAATAGGAACCTGTGAGAGGAAAACCCCCACCCGAGTACTATGACCTATGGAAGGGAAGATTGTTTAAAACAATCCTCCAAGTAAAGAAAATTGAAATATATATTTTTAAAAATTGCTACCATATAAACTGCTATAAGTTGTCAACAACTAAACAAGCATTTACATCATGTACATAACTGTCTTTACATATGGACCCATTCAATTTATACATGGACTCAGTTCAAAAAAATCATATCCCTGAAAACAAGTCTATATACTGTATCTTTATGTGGGTAAGCGCTCTGCTCAACATCTCGACTTGCATATGCATCTTGAAATTCTGCCAATTTCTTTTTAGCATTTTAAGATCTGAGCTGAGCAGTGTCTCGCAGGTTCCTAGGGGAGCAGTGGCCTCCATGCCAGCTTACCCGTCATAGAGGTTACAGGACTCTATGCAGATCCTTCCTCTGCTGAAGCGGCGGCAGGACAGGCACTGGTCAGGCCCAGGACCCCAGCAGCCATCGCTAGAACACAGATGATTACACACCATTCCTTCCGCAGCTGCAAAACACAGGAAAGCCAGGGCCAGTGAACAGGAGATGTGCTCACACTTACTCCTTCTAAGGGAAGCTAAGTGGCTTTACGTAAATTTGTTAAGAGATCTGGGCCAAACATCTATGGGTGTCTCCACCATGGTCACCACATCCCAATCCACCACCAGTGCTCTCCATATTGCAGAGCTCCCGTTACTGGCATGCATATAAAAGGGCATTTTTCATGGATCAAAATCCAACTGACTCTATGGGAACTAATGGGAAGAAGGTGACTGAATTAAATCTTTGAGATAGAACCAATCCACACCTTTCCCAAACCAACACTTTGATCCGCTAAAAAAAATACCAAATACTTTGGGTTCAATTCCATCTGAGAGCTTCAAATGGAAACCGAAGAAATCATGTTATCATTAAGCAAATAAAGCCTTAAAAATTAAAAATGAAGACAGTATATAGGAGACCAGAAGAGAAGATTAGAAATACAATATAGAATTTTGCACACCTCCACTGCAGCCCGGGTAAGCCTAGCTGGGTGTTCGCCAACTCAGCCCAGCACAGCACAGAGATTAAAGTAGTCACAATGGTCTTAGTCTTATGGCTTTTATTTTGATGCCAAAACAGCTAAAAAGTTTGGGTACGTGTTTTGCAATTGTCCTTTAGGTTCATTATTTCTGTCCTTTATTTGCAGTGACAATAGTATTATTTATATCCTATCACATAATTTTATTAAAGAGATTGAATGTAGATGGTGAATAACAAGTTGATAAAGACTTCTGCTATTATTCAAGGCTTCTGAAACACACTCACAGGTATGTCGTTTTTATGAAATGTGAAGTCTCCAAATGGTAAAGACATTGAAAATCTAACTTGATGACCTCTGTTACCAGTTTTATTTACCAGAGGATGTGGGATTCTCTGGCAAGAGCATTTATGGGCAGAACTGGAACGGCATAGGTCATGGTAGTGTAATATAATTGGAGAGACACCCACAAAACCTGGAAAAGTTCACGTACCTAACTCACTTGGGGCAGTCACTGGCCTATTTCTGGGATGCTGACTAGTTTTATATACCCCACCTGATTATACAATTATCTTTATCTATCTGATTAGAAGATATCCTAATCTATAGCCTCAACTTTCATCTTTATAATAGGAAATGTAGCAGAGAAAATATTTTAATTTAGATAAAATCAAATCTATTATTTTTCCCCTTTATGGATTCTGCTTTTGATGTTAAAGTTTCCTTTACCTTGCCTTTGATCCCAAGTAATTTCTCCTAATTCATTAAATTTATTTTCATTGTAGGGATGTACTTAGGACCTCATGCATGCTAGACAAGCACTCTATAACTGAGCCAAACCCCAGTACCTTCTAATTTTTTAAATCAAAATTTTATATCTTTATATTTTACTTTAAATTCATGCCTTTTTTGTCAAAATTTGCTTAAGATGTCAAATTAGATTAAAATACAATTTTGGCCTATGTATGTATATTTGCTCCACTGCCACTTATTTTGTTTTGTTTTGGTTTGGTTTGGTTTAAGACAGGGCAGGATGGCCTTCAACTTAAATTTAGCTCAGGCTGGCCTGGAACTTGAAGTGATCCTCCTGCCCTAGCCTCACAAGTGTTTAGGATTACAAGCATACATAACCACACCTGGCTCCAGCACCTTTTGCTCTGAAAGCTGTTCTCCTCTCCTTGAATTGTTCTGAAACTTTTATCAACAATCAGTTTGGCATATTGATCAATTGTGGGTTATCATGTTGGGCCTATCAGTTGGCCATAGGTATCAACTGTGGGTTATTTCAGGATTTTCTATTCTGTGTTGAACAGTTTCACCTGGTCTTACTATGCATATGTAGTCAGTCTTAAAATTCTGTCAACTGAATGTTCTGACTTAATTTTCTTCTTTCTTTTTTCCAAATTTAAGTCAACTAGCTAGCTTGTTTACTGTTCAGTGTAAATTTTGTGAAGATCTTCTACATATCTGAAAAACCTTGCTGTGATTCTAATACTTACCATACTAAACAAACATATCAAATTTGGAGACAATTTTTATAATTTGAGTCTTCTGATTCATGAAGATAGTATGTGATCTAAATACAAGGTGTGTCTAAAAACAGTGAATGTTTAAACCAACACACACACACGCACACATTTCCCCCTCCTTTTGAATACATTATCCCATCGTTCTTGCCACTGAAGCAGTTCTGGAAGTCCTCTTTCATGAGTGTCTTTAGTCTCACAGTCGTGACTACCTTGATGTCCTGAATTAGAAACATTACATTTCATTTTGACTTTGGGGAAGAGCTATGGTCCAAGATGTAGCTCCCGAAGCAGAGGAGGACACCCTGTAGTGGTTCTATCTTCCTGCCTTCCTGTTGGATGCACTAGAAACATTGCTCACCAGACTTTTCATCTTACGCTCGTGAAGATGTTCACAGGAGAGGACTTCCTGCCCTGCCATCTTGCTGAATTCACTTGCTTATTCTCAGGGCCTTTTTGTTTTTGTTGTTTTGCAAGCCTGCTGAAAATGTTACCAGACACATACATCCTCTGTGGACATGGTAGTTTTTTCTTCTGTTTTGATCTATACATCTTTTTTTTCCTTATTATGATTTTAGAACTTCTAATACTATGTTGATTGCACAGGGAGAGATGGCTTTCTTTCCCTACTCCCAGTCTATTCAGCAAGCATTAGAGCTTCCATGAGTAAGTATACTGGTAGGTATAAGACTTTTCTAGATGCCCTATAGCAAGTTAAGAAATTTCCCCTCCATTTCTGTTCTTTTAGGATTTTAAAAATATTAATGTGTTAAATTTTTCAAATTATTTTCTGTACCAGATGATTTAATCCTGTGCTATTTCTTCTCCAGACGGTCAATTCTGTATATTACATCATTTATTTTCAAATAGTGCACCAGCATGTTGTCTTTGATATAAACCCATTTGTCAATGTAATTCTTTTTGTATATTAATGAACGTTACTTGTTGCTTTTTAGAAGGCTTTATTTTACATATGAAAAACAAAATCTATTTACTCTAAATATATGTATTTATGTATTTTTGAGAGTTGGGTCTTTAGTCTTTCACCCTTTCCCACCTCATTTGTGTCTTCCTCTTTTCTCTGTTCTTATTTGTACTCTTTGCTCACATAGAGATTCTAACCTTCCAAATCATCATACAAAGTAGTAATGATCATCCATTTGCAGATGGGCAGGGCCTCAGGCCCAACAGTGCCAGGTTTAAGTTACTCCCCTGGTTTCTTCACTACCAGGAGGGATACAAGTCCTGCTCCACACCCCCACTGCTTTGACACCATTTTCAGGAGGCTGAAGCAGTCTGCACCCCACGTCTTTGCTAGCCAGAACACAGCAGGAAAGCTTGCTCTTGCTAGGCTGTTCCTTTCCTGTGGCAGTGAGGAAAGATTCTGTTGGAGAATTTTGAGTCTGTGCTTGTGGTTGACTTTGACTTGCCAGTTTCTTCACCTCCAAACCTGAGGTCTCTGCAGAGCGAAACTCAGGAAGCTCAGCTGTGCCCTGCCTTAGGTGACAGGTTCCCAAACCTGAGTGTCTCTTTCCTCTACCTTTCATAGTCTTTGGTTTGTCCTACACAATATGTCCAGGATTATATGCAAAGCAAGAATTCAGTGATATGCATGAGTCAAGCCTTTTTTTAATGAATATGAAGTTAAAATAGCTATTTTATAAACATTCAGCCATTTTAAGGCGATTTACCAAGTTTTACGTCCTGACTTAAGTATATTTATATATAATGCCTATGTAAAATGTTATGTGCGATAATCATTATTATCCGAGGACATCCCCAAGAAGAAAATCTATGAATTAGGAGGGCAACCTATAAAGATGAGTGGAGTACAGAGCGTCATGAATCTCTGGCTCTCAGTATCTGTTACCTAGAAAATATAACCAATGCCCCAAACTCTTTGTTTACTAAATTCTAATTACTAATTCATCTCCATTCTTCATTTCTCTCTTGAGGAAGTTTGATGATTCTCTCACTCTTGTTTCTTGTCCTTCCCTCTCCCAAGGGTAACTGAATGTGGAAGAAAGAACTGCTTAGATTTTCTGTTATATATTTTGACATCAATGGGGGAGAAAGGCTGTAGGTTCACCAAGACCCTACTTCCTTTTCTGTGGCTTACTTCCTCTCTGAATCTTTATGCATGTGTGTAACATCAGGGAAGTCTGAAGGAAGCAACACATCTACCAATGGAAAGCCATACTAAGAAAGAAACCATAACAGCCGCTGTCTTGTTCTTTTTAAAGCATTAGATGAAGGAAACAAGAACTAGCGGATCATTTCCTCCAAAGTGAGACCAAAGAAGGGGTCTTCACACAACATAAAACAAAAGGCCAGGGAAGCTGCTGCTTTGAAATGCGTAAGAGCATGCTAAGAGCAGTCTCCTATCAGCACCAGAATTCAACAGACAGAGAGACTGCTCAGAGAGACAGTGACACGGGAGGTGTGGAACACTTATAGTTCACAAGGCTACTATAAACCTCTCTAAAGGATCCTTGGCGATGAAGGCATTAGGAAACCTTTCACTTCGTCTGTGTTTTCTTTGGGAGCTGTAAAATAGATTTTTCATTATCCCATATGAATTGTATCTGCCTGTTAAAAATTTAGAGAGATAATAATGTGCTTAGTAGTTCGACCTTTATAGAGAATATTGAACTTGTTTCCATTAAAATACAGACAAGCTTAAAATAATGGAATTTGTTACATGGACAAAAGTAAATGGATTGGCTCAAAAATATTCTGCGATAGACACAAAGGCGAAAAAAAAAAACGCTCTTTTACTGTAGAGCAAGTTCACCTACAGTGTTTGCAGTATTTATCATATACAGAGGCAGAGATTTTACTTTGAATGTATTTGGACAGGGATAGCTAATCCTTTTTTAAGGCTGAAAAGCATGTTTTAATATAGTAGTAATTCAGATTTTATGATCAAACAAAGGTTAAATCCTTACAGCTTTATGCGCC